GGAGCCTTCCTCGGCTGGTTCGTTAAGACCCTGCACTCTTGGCTCCGAGCTCATTAGCAAAGCTCTGATTAAATCCATCTCCTTAAAGAAGATAAATAAATAGGAAAACAAAACATAGGAATAGTGGTGGGGGGGGTAGTTTGCGATGCTGCTCTCAAACCCAGGACAGCTCTCGGGTCCTGGGTTTGATTCCGAACCAGGGGGACCTTCTGGGGGGAGTCCGCATGTTCTCCACAGGCTTTCTCCAACAATGGTACTGCGGTCCACTCCCACCTTCCAAAAACTTGCCTTCCTGGAGAAACGGCATCTCTTGATTAGCCCCCTGTGTGAGAGTGAGTGTGCAGGTGTGTGTGACCTGTGGTGGACTGATGTCCCGTTCAGGGTGTGGTCCCACTCTGGGCCCTGTGTCTCCATTATAGGCTCTGGGCTGCTGCTGCATAGATGCACAACACTGAGAGGGATAAATTCCTGCTGCACTCTGAGCTATTATTGCGTCTGTTTAGTGGATACAATTTTTGGGGGGGGCACTCCCTGACCCCCCTACCTCCTTCCCTGCCCCTACAACCTATGTGTGACCTCGGCCACAGTGACCCCTGCTGGGAGGAAACTGAAGTGCCACCTGCCAACACGTGCACAGTGGCGCTAATGACTGGATTATGACGCGCGCTGAAGTGTCTCACGTTCGAGCTGGATGGCCAGCACGTTGCAGCCGTCTTTAAAGGTCCGTCTTGTCCCCATAAGACCCCCACAGGCCACCCCAGTCACCCTGAAAAGCTCGGAGGCGCAGGGAGCTGGCCGCCAAGTGCCCCTGGGCAGCGATCGGCGGCGTGACCGCGAGACGCCGGGACAATGTCTCCCCCTTCTGGACAGCACAGCACTTACGTCCTTCAGGCAGCCCATGAAGTTGTTGCTGACTGGCGAGCCGGGCAGGTCGGCGGTGTTGGGGCTGCCCCCGATGTAGAAAAAGTCGTCCGAGCCCAGCATGGTGTAGTCCTCCTGGGTGTAGCCCGTCGTGGTCAAGATCCCGTCCACCGAGATCGTCACCTGAGCAGGCGAGAGCGCGCCGGGAAGAGGGAGCGAGAGGGGAGGAAGAGAGAGAGAGAGAGGAGAGGAAGAAGCTGGATCAAACACAGGGGCAGACAGAGAGGCCCTGGATCCCTACAGACCCTGCTGATCGAAAGGCCTGCTCCTAACGCCAGGCGGCGTGGTGGCGGGGGGGGGGGCGGCGGGTCGAGGGGCAGTTACTCCAGAGTGCAGTTGCGGGATGCGGCCCCTGGGGCGGCGCTGTTGGCGTTTCCCCCAACACAAGCAGGGCAGGAGAGAGGAAGGAAGCTTCCGAATTGCTTTTGATCTGGAAACTCGCGACTGAAAGCCCCTCGTCCTCGAACCACGGAGCAACCAGCTTTAATTTATCACCCCTAACTAAGCAAGACGTCTGCTCGTTATTTAACTTTGGGGAAATGACCGATTTAGAGGGGAGAGGTTCGGCCCTACTGGAAATATCTGTGCATCCGTATGAACTTGAGTTATGAGCATAAACTTATCTAGCTGTCTGTCTAGTCATTAAGGTTGACACATGCACCTAAAATGCACTCACAGCAATTCCACTTGTCTCATAGTTTTACTTTCCATGACTTTGTACAAGCAGTCACACGCCCCATCTCCCTTTGTCACAGGCGCTAGGAACTCATCCGTATCTTTTATCTTCACTCTCTCACCACGGGGGGAGGGAAACTATTCACTCCTTTGTCACTTTAATTTATCGGCGTTCCTTAAAGGAACCAGCCTGATTCCTCCTTCCCCTCGCTCACATCTA